CTGTGAGTGCTGTCTGTCTGTCTATCGTGTCTGTGAGTGCTGTCAGTCTGTCTATCGTGTCTGTGAGTGCTGTCGGTCTGTCTATCGTGTCTGTGAGTGCTGTCAGTCTGTCAGTCTGTCTTTCGTGTCTGTGAGTGCTGTCTACCATTTACACATAGATGTCTGTAGTGGTTTAATACCAAGAATACATTATCCACGAGGGTTAAGCTATAACACATTTAAAAACATGCCTTAACTATAGTCTTAAAAATAACAATACTGACATCCATTTTTATTTTCACGTGCTACCTATTATTTCACTCATCTGTTCGCGTAAAAAGATTTAAAAATAAWAACTTAAAGGCAATATTTACATAACTAAAATGCTAACAAAACTAAACTAAAAAGCTAATAAGTTTTGATTTTTAAATTTTTTGTTGTTTTTGTTGTAACTTTGGATTTCTAATCTTATGACGATAGCGGTGAAGATACTGGGCGCCAGGCTCCATACCGAGCTAGGTAAGGTGATAGGCACGTGACTATTTGACATGCCTGCCATTCACTCTATACTGACGTCATCAATCAATCGCCTGCTTCTCATTTTTAACCAACCTGACAAAGTAAAACTTAACCTGCAAGTATAACGAATATAATTGTGGAACCAGGTCGTTTAGACTGCTAAACCATACCTACACACCTAAACACCTATACACCTATACACCTATTTATGGACCAAATCAACTAGGGAGGAATGTTTTGGGAACATCAGACCACGTGTCACTCTCTTGAGAATATGATTCTTTATTTGTGTTGTATCCATATTCATGTGTCTTCTCATGYRCAACCAWTAAAAAAAGAAATAATACTCTAGGGAATGACAYCTGATCAYCTCGTTAAARCAAAGACTAMTCTGGCCTAARACTTGGTTGGCCATCAGYAGTCTAAGGGATCTGGGTACAAGWTTAATRACTGTCTWACATATAACGCTATMAACTTTATTCTTAAAGGGTTCTTTTAATGCTTGAAATATAAAGATAAAAATAAAGCTTTGACCCTCGTAATCCATTTGCACTGCTCTTTGTGACTCGAGAATTTGTTAGAGGAGCAGAGGACTGGGTACGAGTTTTGGAATCAAGGGCACACGCCTGTGTCTCTCATTAATGAACCCTTCGCATGTAACGTTAAAGCAGTTCAATTTGGAGGACAATTCAAAATAATTTCAATCTCCTGAGAATACTCSAGCTTCAGGTTCTCTGCTGCTTAGGAGTAGCCTCGATTTTGTGCAGASCATTCATTAATCAATATTTTTTTAAAGCTGCGCATTCTTTACTKTACGTGAGGAATGTTTTTAATATTTAGGCTTTGATACGAGTCGAGGCTAACCCTGAGTAAGTGAGTCTGTGATCAATTAGGAGCACAGTAGTCATTTGAAACTCGAAAATGTTCTATTGGAAACCTATTGTTGTGTCCTCCAAATAGACCCCTTCAGCACRGGGTAATGTTTTGCCATTTCAGACCACKTGTCATTCCCTTGAGAATRAGATTCTTTGTTTGRGYTGTATCCATATTCATGTGTCTTCTSATGTGCAACCGAGCGCAAACCTTAAACAAAGAAATGATACTCTAGGGAATGACRTGTGGTCTGAAATGGGAAAACATTACTTCARAGCCGAAGAGGTCTATTGAGCTGCATTCCGAAGCACTGCAAGGGGACTATTGCCGAACTGAGTTAGGAACGTGGAATGTCGCCCATTGATAAACTCATACCTAGTCTTTTACTCGCACTTATGGGCGGCAATATTGACTGATTGCTTTTGCTTGATTTTGGTGTAATTTTGTGTACTGCACGAGGTAGAGACTGATAGTCTTCTYGTAATATCCTTGAAGCACCTTTAGTCAATTTTCAAGCACGCTGTACCTTCAATTACCACTTTAACTGGGTTTTCTCCTACGTATTCTAGCCATCCAAAGGGGTTAAGAAAGAAACTGGGTCGGGTTGGCATTGCAGTGCATTGTGGGACTATTTTATTCCAAGATGGCGGCTATTTCGTCCCCTAAATAAGTCCCAAATATCACTGCAATGAAAATTCGACCCAGTTTTCCTTTCAATCTCGGAATGGTTTATAACTTTTGTTTTCGTTATTCCTGAGAGAAAACTACGCATGGCTGTCATGTTGAATGATGTAGATGGTTTTATACGATTATTCCTAAGGGAATAACCGAACAAGAAAGCTAAAATGGTAGCCATGTTGTATATATAAGCTGTATTTTTGGCTGCCATGTTGAATGATATAGATGGTTTACGATTATTCCGAAGGGAATAACCGAACAAGAAAGCTAAAATGGTAGCCATGTCGTATATATAAGCTGTTTTATAACGAAAATTTTACTATATAATATATTTGGATATATTTATTTATTACTAATGGTAATCATTCCCAGGTCCCACTCGGTCTGTCAAATAACGGTCGAAAGATCTATCGCAAGAGAAAGTGTGCAAAAATCTGGTAAGAAAAAAATTAGAAGATTGGGATTTCTAATTATACTTAGTGGCGTTGCAGTATCTATTCACGGAATCACTGGTGTCTCGCTCGCCAATGCGACCCGGGTTCGATTCGCGGACTTGGTGTTATATTTTTTAACTATTTTAGGCGTTTCATTGATTCAATAATCTTTCTCCAGATTTACCGG